ATCTTTTAGCATCAGAACCAAACCTTCTGGTCGAGTCTAATTTGAGAAAAAAGCCTATCAAAAACCGGCAATTTCCTCTGCCGTACCCGTTACATCGCTTTTACGCCTTTACGATGCACGAGTTTAAGAATTACCAATTTGTCTATCTTCTATCTACTTCATAGTTTAAACACAGGGTAGAGGGAGGGCGTGGGGTGGCATGAGAGTGACGTACAGACGTAAAGACGTAGAGACGTTACGTCTTAACGGATCGAACAGGCCTCGAAAGTTAAGAAAGCATAGTTTTTAGCGACTAAACTTTCGATACGCAAACATCCGTAAAAAGCATGTCCCGACTGAAAATCGAACCCCGGACATCAGTTAACAAGACATTGGTCAAGTTTTAAGATAAAAATACTTGTTCTTTGAAAACTTTGATCCTGGTGTTTGAACTTTATTCTTAAAGATTGGCTGTCAACCGAGATAATAATCTTATAAAAATTTCGTCATCGTTACTATATAAATAATTACTCAAAACAACGTGCATCACTCAAGCGTGTAATGAGCCAGGAACAGAAAACATAAGTACGATTTTCATTATTATCAATTGTGCAATAAACGAAGTGACTAAAGGTAAACTGCACTTTTTAGTTTTTTACCAACATTGATTTACTCACGGTGTATCACTGGATTTTGTCAGTCAAAAAGAAAAGTTGCATGGAATTTTTAGACGGCATAGCAACACTTTTACAATACCATCTGAAAATTTTAATAAAATAGTGAAAGGGAGGCTCTCTTTCAACATTTATTTTATATTGAAACTCTCTTATTAGAAATACTGCCTGCAAACTATCTGTCTGTTTTCTGAGTTTGAAGCAAGCGGCTTACACATAAGATGCATAAAATAGTGAACACTACAGGTACGGTAGAAAGGTAAGCATGATTTGCTTTTCTCCTTGCCATTACCTGTAATCGATTGTAATTGAAACTTCTACTATTGCTTACACGGAGACTCTAAGACCCGAAGTTTTTTAACAAGTTTTTTGACAGCCGACATTTATATACCGACAATGAAACTACCGTCGTAAAAGCAGTCTAGTTTACTATTAAAAAGAATAGGTAGCAGATTATTTTTAATATTGATAGACGAAGGTCGTTTCTTAAGCGTGGCAGATTCTATAAACTATTCCATTTTATACCCTGATACTTATTGGTTTACTTGCGGTTGATGCAGAGCAGAAGTAAGTGAACATAAAATCATAAAACACATGTTGTCAAGTAAAATCATTACGTAAAAATAGTTCTTTTAATTCGAAACATAAACTGAATATTATCCTTCACAGATGATCAGATAGAGTATGGTGAGATAAAGTTAAAACGTAAAACAGTAAGTTATCCTGTCAACAGTTTCAGAACCAATAACGAAATATAATAGTTGTGCGCAGTGAACAGGTCAAGACTGAAAAAACTATTCTTCGATGTCAGTAAAAATTCTTCGTTTCAGATTTGGGCAAGTCACGATTTTTTCAGTCTCAGTCAAATCGCAATCATGAAGCCATCAGTCACGATTAGTCACAGCGATTTTTTCGGAGTTAGGTAATTTTCTAGACGAAGTGCTCTTTCATTCATTCATTCTTTCTTTTTTATTCTGATCATAGTATCTCTTTCTTTAACAACAAAATGTAACAATGTAGAAATATTTTTTGTGTTAATACAGTACAGTGAAACACGCTTTCTCCATCGTTTGTTACAAAAATGTGAATAATATCTTAATTGAGAAATTTAAAGTTACATTTTAACAGTGTAAAAGTAGAAAGAGTATTTTTAGTAGAAATTAAACTAGAAGCGTTACGTTGTGAAGACATTTTGAGAAACAAACAATCTGAATCAGACAACATTCTGACTGTGTGAGAGGTGTGATCTCTCACGTTTATTGTACATAGATAGTGTAATGTACATATACCATGCTACCAAAAAGCTCATTTGTTTTGACGTTTAAATGCCAAATTTTTTTATTTTATTTTCTAAAAGAGATTTTGGCGCTTATTTTGTGAGCAAATTTACACCCATTTAATCTAACTTTGAAAATTTATTTTTGGCTGCATGGGATGGAGGGCACCTCAAACTATCTATCTATGTGCAAATCAGAGCTTGCTAAGTAGTTCTGTGACAGAAAAAATATATACCAAAGCATATGCAAAGAAGTGCAAAAAACGATGAAATTCCGTAACGGTGGTTTACTCTGCCAGAGAACCAATTAAAGAAAAAAAGCAGGTAGTAATTCTGATAGCCCAAACTGTGAGCTTTAATTTGGTAGTTAAGCAATCATTTTAAAATTAATTTAAGGCTGAATAATTTACATTTACTGAAATACGCCGAAAAATACTTTCATTTTTTGAAATTCCGTAATTATTTTGACTATAATTTTTGATCCGCTTGTTCAATCATGCTCAAATTATTTTTGGTAGTAGAACTCCCTAAAATTCATCATTGGCATACATTTGATTGATAAAAGTTGCTTCTTTACCGAGATACGGAGCACGGAAGACGAAAAAATGAAATTCCGTAACATTTGACCAAGCCAATATACATATTTCTGTATTCACTATGTATAGTTATTCACTTTTGTCACTATCTCTTCTTTTCTTTTGATAACTCAAGCGTAAAAAATAAAGCTAGTATCGCCCGATTCATCTACATTACTAGATTTTTACTCGATCGCAACTATTGTGTAACGACAATAGAAATCTAGTAATTGGGCGATTACTAGATTTTTCCTAATTGCAACTATCGATTTATTGCTCGGTAATTGATCGATTTAACTATTACTAGATGCACCTGAAGACGCATCTAGTTAAAAGTCCCTTTTCCAACTAGTAATCTAGATGACAACTAGTCATGTATCGTACGATTATAGACGAAATGTATCTAGATTTTTCCCATAGGTGATGTTTGCTTGGAAATATCTAGACTTCATCTTTATCTTCTTTCCTGCTTACTTTTTTTGTTTCTCTCTCACTTTCTATTTAAAAAAATTAGTCATATTTTCAAAAAATCAGTCCCGTTATGCAAAAACGTCAGTCTCAGTCATGACTGAGATTTGCTCATCTCTGCTTCGTTGAGAAAAATCACTACAATTTCCATTATTATCGATTGTGCAAGAAACGAGGTGACTAAAGTTAAATTACATTTTTTAGTTTTTTCTCCAACTTTGATTTACTCACGATGTATCATATGTGGATGGTATTGCAACACTCTCTTTCAATATTTTTACTCTCTATTTTTATACGCTTCATTGCGTGTTGTTTTAGATATTTACTAATGGGTTTGAGACAAACAAAACATTCACCAAATATTATTCGTGAAAATTTATGCGAAGTTCACGCACACATATGCAATTTTATTATTCCTTCTAATCATGTCACTACAAAATTACCTGTTAATGATTATATAGTAAAACATAACCAGCGAGAATTTATGTTAATCTATTTGGATAAAAATATGGATGAAAATACCGTCGACGTAGTTTCTAGATTAAATGAACATTTACAACGTTTTGATGATCAATTAGAATGTATTAAATTTATTCGTTCAATTGAAAATACAAATAAAGCTGTATTTTTAATTATTCCTGGTTCATTGGCAAATAATTTATTAAACGAAATTCATTCATTAAAACAAATTGATTCAATATTTATTTATTGTAGAAAACGTTATAGATATGAATCATTATTAGAAAAATATGATAAAATTGTTGATATTTGTACAGAATTAGATGATTTAGACATAAAATTACAACAAAATTTAGAAAGATATTTAACAATATTTAATTTTTATAATATAAAAAAAAGTATACGCGATTTAAATCGTGAATCAGCTGAGTTTATTTGGTTTCAACTATTACAATCTATGCTAATGAAATTACCACACAATACTGAACAAGCAAAACAAGAATTGTTAACTCAATGTCGTTTGCATTATCGAACACGTAAAGGTGAATTGGATACTATTAAAAAGTTCGAAGATGAATATAAATCGGATGACGCTATTCAATGGTACACAAAAAATTCATTTCTTTATCGTATAGTTAATCAAGCATTACGTACTGAATATGTTGAAGAATTATATACATTTCGTTATTATATTGTGGATCTTTGTTTACATTTACTTAAACGATCTAATGAATTTAAACAGTTAAAGGAAAATTTTCAACGTGTTATAACACTATATCGTGGATCAGAAATGTCCAGTGATGAACTAACTAAAATTAAATTAAATCAAGGTGGATTAATAGCTACAAATGGATTCTTGTCAACAAGTCGAAATAAACGAATAGCTAAAAGTTTTGCTAACATACAATCATCAAAAACAGTAGGAGAACAAAATACAAACGGAAGTAATAAATTGGTGTCCGTTCTATTTGAAATTGATGTCAATGTACAACTTAGCAGTATTATATTAGCAGATATCTCAGATATGAGTCAATTTCCAGAAGAAGAAGAAATGCTATTTGGTTTAGGTGCAGCATTTAAAATAGACAGTGTTGAAGAAACGATAAATGAATTTTCACGAAAATATACGCTTGTGAAAATGCATGCAACAAATGAAGGAAAAGAAATAGCTAAAGATTATATTGCGTATAAACAAGAAATAATATCTGGTGGAAACGTATCTATTGTATTTGGTCAATTATTAACAAATATGGCTGAATATAGGAATGCCATTGCTTATTTTAAAAATTTATTAAACAAACATGAATACAATGATGACAATGATTTAGCTACTATCCATTTTTGTATAGCTGATGCTTTAATGTCGATCGGTGAATATGAACAAGCGTCAGATCATTGTCAGTATTCATATAGTATTTATTCAAAAAATAATACAATTGATGGTGTGGCCAACACATTAGCACGTATGGCAAGCGTTAGTATTTGGAAAAAAGAATATGATTCTGCGTTAACACAATATGAACAAGCAATTACATTATATAAAATGTTAAAATCAAAACAAGATGTAAATATTGCCAATTGTCAAAATGGTTTAGGTGATGTTTATTTTGGTAAAAAAAATTATCCAAAAGCATTATCTAATTATATTGATGCATTAAACGTAAGAGAAAAACATTTACCTAATGAACATCCAGAAATAGCTCAAAGTTATTTTAATATAGGCAAAGTTTATTCATATCATTGTAATTTTGAAAAAGCATTTAGATATTTAAACATAGCATTAGAGAAAAAACAGAAAATTTTTCCTTCCCATCATCCGACAATAGGATGTACTCTGTATGCACTTGGAAATGTATGTTATAGTAATGAAAAGACAGGCAAAGCATTAGATTACTATAACAGAGCATTAGAATGTTATGAACACACTTTGCCTCCGAATCATCACTACACAATCAACGTAAAAAAAGATATTGAAAAAGTAACGAAACATATCAGTCATCAATTTTAAAAATACCAGAACGCACAGATTATACTCTGGAACGTTCTTACGCAAGAAAAAGTTATAGATTCTCGATTATTCGCGAAATTTTGGTTATATATGAGCCATAAAATCTGGCGCGATCGTGGTCGAATTCAGCTACCGGCGGAAACAAATGTCGCGTAAGTATAGATGTTGCTTTGCGGAATTTCGCCTAGAATTTATAATGTTTTTCGCGTAACTTGTTGCCTCACGCAGAAAATTCAGTGTAATTACACAGAATATTTATGACAAAATTTCGTGAAAAAAAAACATTGTGAGATTTGTGAAGTTCATTTCATTTTTCAAGCACTGATCACTGTGAAGTATATAAGCTCATCCCAGTCAGCCGAGTTTGATCTCTCAAGCTGCTCAATTCTTTTTGTTTTAGTGAACAAAAACTTATAAATTTTGAAAATTTGATATTTTTATGGCGTTTATTTATACGACTTAATCAAGCCTAACTCTGTTAGGTTTTATTCGTACTTTTTTTGTATTTTCTTCAAAACTATAAATGATAAAGAAGCCGTTCTTGCCTGATTTTGTACATCTCGGTCATCCGGATTTCGAATACAAAACTGATCGAAATCGGTCTTAAAAAAGTAAGTTTTATGTCGATTCTACAGTGCGTAACGCTATTACAAAAAAAGGTCCTCAGTTATATGACATCCACAGAAAGATTGTTAAATTTCTGCGAATCTTTAACTGCTAGAGAAAAATTTTCTACAAAAATTTGCAGCTGATTTTACGAGGATTTTACCGCTCGATCGTTTGTATTAAATTGAAAACTTTCACTGTAAAAATTAATTTTTTCCGACAAAATTTTCTTTTCGTCTTAGCTACCACTATTGGCTTAGGCAAAGTGAGGTAAGGTCAGGAAATTTAAATGCATTTCTATACTTTAGCTGGCACTATTATCTTGTCGTTACTGAGTAAAAGAGAGCTGTCCAATTATCGTTATCTAGATAATGCGTATATAACGATGCGTGTTCTTTACGATGCGATAATCTAATTCAAAGCATACATTTAGAATAAAATTTAAGCGAATAAGAATTGTTGTATTTCGGAACGGATAGTAGCGCAGGTCACCACTCAGGTCAGGTAACGATCGTAACTCACTCTCATGGCATCTGCCCCCCCCGCTCCCGGACACCTCCACTTCGTGTCGAAGGTGAGGTATATGTTTGGAAAGATACGGATTGAATAAACGCTTCGAAAATATGTGGACATAGAAAATTCAGCTGAAATACAGAAACAAAAAATTTGGGGACTATCAGCATCTGACTGTTTGAATACATATAACTAAAAATCATAAGAAATCTATATGGTGGCCTAAGCCAGTCAGAAAATAATAGAGCATTCGCAATCAATCCTTACCTGACCTAGATGGTGACCTAAACTCGTCAGAAAATAATAGATATTCGCAAGCACACTATATACATCAAAACGCATTATTATCATCCAGTGCATACCAAAATAAATTCCCAGCGAATACAAATTCATTTTTTAAAAAATCAACTGTGTATTTTTCCAAGCTATGATAAGAATCTAAGGAAATAGGGCAAATAAGCATTAAAGGAAATAGGGGAAATAAGAAAATAAGGATCTAAGGAGATAGGGGAATCAATGATTAAAGGAATTCAGTCCAGGCCGAATCTAGAGTTTTAATCTCTCATGCTGCCATAACGCCGCCCCCGTCCAGAAGCTGTTAAAAAACTGAGAATAATTCGTAATAACAACTTATATTATAAATTCAAGTATTAGTTAACACAGATCTGTTTTCTTACTATCCGTATTCTCTTATTTCCCCCATTTTCTTAAATTCTTATTTTCCGTATTTTTAAGGGTACCCCCCTGTGGTGCTAATTAGGCCCTACTAATAGCTTCACAAAACAACGCCCAATTCTATTCCACCAGCAGCAACAATTATTATTACTCTCCGTTTCAAAATGGTTGGCACTCGGTTGCTTTTTGAATAACTTTTGATAGGAATGAGATAGAGACCTGCGATTTTCGCTGTTCAATAGCCAAGACTTGAGCAGAACTTTTCACAAGCGGAA